TTCCTTTGTTGCTACAGCTCAGATACTGATCAGCTGCAGAAATTTGCTGCCTATTTCTCTGTTATGGGGATCTCAAAAGAGATCAAAATGGACAATGGTCCTTCTGACGATTGAAAACTTTATTTCTTTTTGCCAATTTTGAAATGTTTATGCCTCTCTCAAGGTCATAAAAATGCCCTATAATCCCAAAACCAAGTCATAATTGAAAAGCTTATTTCTCACTCAACAATTAGATATTTAAACAAAAAAATGGAGGGGGAGGGAATAAAGGAACTGACTCCTCGGGATCAACTTGCCAAAGAAACTTACACTTTCAATTTTAAAAATTGTTTCTCCTCGTCTTTCCCCTGACACCCATATAAATTAACATCATAAAAAGCAGGAAGTTTTATCCAAACCCATGATTTTATATAAATTCTCTCAAGGACCTAACTAACCTATGTTTGGGTACTATTCCCTTTATAATGTAGGGCTGAGGGTTTATATCTGTGCTTTCTCCTACAGGCTCTCTCTAGCTACAACAGGATTGGCAAAGTGACATCATAAGCTAAACCAGAGGACAACAACCTGGTAACAAAAGAGGGTCTCTTGCCTAACTTTTAACCACATAGAAATTGCATGCCACTGCTATTCTTTCCCAGAGTTACTCTCATAACAACGTTTTTTTTTTCTCTCTCTCTCTCCTGGTTTTAATTCTGAAGCAAGCCTATGCATGCCTGGATTCCGGTTAATCTGGCTTGCCCGTGACATGGAAGATCTGCTTCAGAACAACTTAATTATTCCCTTGAACATATATGTACAAAAGATTCACTGGAATGATTGCTAAGGGCTGACTTAGCTGCCACAGTTGGAGCTACAACTGCGAAATTATCCTTAACTCAGTCCGTCCAAACTAAAGCAACTGCAAATTTCTATCTTCAAAATGAACATCTGGAAATGATGTTTTATACTAACTGGCTCAAACCCTTTAATTGTTTTTTCAGGATTAAATATCAAGATGCGGTCTTTTATAGATAAATCACTCTGTCTGCTTCTTTCTCGAAGTCCTAGTGTGTCTTTGTCTACTCTTCAAAAGGACTACCCTTACCAAAGTGATGTTGATTTAGGCTGCCTGCCCAGTACATCATCCCTTGGCCAGCTCTTCACCAGTGACTCCCTCCAGCAATGTGTTACTTCTTTAATAGAAAAAAATGGAGAGACTGTGGGGATGCAACCTGATAAAAATAACTCTTAGATTCTAAGAGCCTGAAACTTCTGCTGGACCACATAGCCAGAGTTAATAATAAACCCTGAGGTCATGTAAGACATAAGACAGCTAGCCTACTGTGTACTTATCCTGTTTACTTAGCATGCCTTTAAGAGAACAATGTAACAACCAACCTTACTGGCCTTGAATTTGCCATGTATTCAGCTTTTACAACCTCCATTAATCCATAGTTATAATCTTCAATTATATACTCATCCATGTCCCTGACCTACAGGAATGCATGTGTTCTCATAATCATTTGTTGAAAGAGCAAAAATCGAGTTTGAGAGCATTCTTTTAAAATGAATCTCTACAGTAAATGTTGAGCACAGCATTCAGATATTGCTTGATAAACAATGATGTTTATCACACTGCTTGCTAGCTGGGTCAGTTGGAATCAGCGACTAAATTCCTTGTAAAATTCTGTTAAAGATTTCTGGAAAGGAGCCTCATTCCTTCCCCATGTGATACTTCTGTGCTGTTCAATAAATTCAGAGCAAAGCCCTTTGTTAGGGACAGACAGACACAGATGCAGGGACAGATTCACAGGACAGCATTCAAGCGGCACAGATTCACCCACATACAACAGAGAGACAGGACAGAAGACACGGGGAAGGTAAAAAAGAGACTTCTAATCTGGGCTTGTTCGGAGTTAAACGACACCGAGAGGAAATGCTTTGATTTTTTCCCCCTTGATGCAACACCGACAAATTATTGGTGACTCAGAGTTTACTATTAATGTCTTCAAACCGACCACACAAAGGAAATGAGAAAGAGAAGGAAAAGATAGAAATAACGAACAAAGAAAGAGCTCCACTGACAAAGATAAAAACAGAGGAAAGAAACCCTAATCAGAGTCTGGGTGGGTGGTAAAAATAATATTATCTATGCTACTGAATAACTAACATCATTTTAATGGAACATAATATAGTCAGGCTTTAACCTTTTATCTGACACCTTTCCCGGTATTAAAAATCTAGTCTCAGTGTTTCAGTTTGAATATCTGAGGCACATTATTCACAGTGCTATTTTTAAATCAAGATGGTATTTTCAATTAAAGGTAATATAAGCCTATTAAAATAATAAATTCCTAAATGAAAAATACTGCAGTAAAGAAAAAATGATAGTGACAGCTATCACCTATAGGCCCACATATAAATTCCTTAAATAGTTTATTTATTTTTTAATATCTGATTTTGTTGCTTGGCTTTTTTTTTTCAAACCTAAGTATCGAAGACATAACATGCTGAATCTCCAACATGGAATTTTATGAGGGAGTCCTGTTATACTGCTCAGGGTATTGTAAAATTCCCTGGCTCAGGTCATCCATGTTCCTATCTTCGCCTTCCGAAGTGCTTGCACTAAAGAGAAGACACGTGCCACTGTGCCTGGCTAGAGTGAGGCGCATGAACCATCTGCAAAGCTGAGCAAGCACAACTGTATATTCATTACTGCCAGTCGACACTAGTCTCCACAGAATTCTAAAGCCAGATTCTGATCTAGATTGGCCATTATATTGCTTTGATTTGGGAGAACTATTCACAATGGTTCCTCTCCTTCTTAATGACAAAGCAAGTGCCCATGGGACAAATCGAAAGTTCAAATTCAAAATATCATCCACGGGTGAGAATTAATAGAACTTGATGGAAGATGAACCAGAAGAAAAGCCAAAACTTCATAGTCAATAATTCTAACCTGTGCAAGTCATGTATCCCTTTCAGGAAAGTGTTCGTTGCATCTATTAGCAAAATAAGTGAACCTAGGTGAATTAAAAGGAGCCTTACAGATTCCAGTATTCAATGACTTGACATTTCTTTGGCAGAGAAATTTTAAAAATATGTATGTGTAAAGAATGAAGGAAAGATTTTTGTTTTTGCTAGTAAAAAAATTCAAGAATCTTAGTCAATAGTCACATTTATACTTTTACACTTGAACACCTACCATTGTATTTCCCTTTAGACTTCCACCAATTTTTGGAGTATTTAAATCATACTTTGAGATGGGATATTGTCCAAGCTGGTCTCCAAATCCAGAGCTTAAGTGATCCCCCTGTCTCAGTCACTGAAGTTACTAGGACTATAAAGACTTATCACTGTGTATAGCCAGAATGTTTACAGCTACCTTTATGGCCCAAAACATGATAGCAAAAAGAAAATCATTCACTTAAAATTAGAGTGAACCCTAGGAAAGTATATAGATGTGCTGGGGATGCTGGCTGATTTTTCAGAAAAGACTTTGGCTTTGGAATTAAAGCTCAAGAATATGATCTTTCTTATCCATAGCTTTCCTACCCCCATGCACTAAAAGCACACCTGCTGCTTTCAACACTATTAACTGATGGGTGTAATTTGCTAAAAACTCTCTCCGGTCAAAAAAATGCTCTAGGTAGATGGGAAATAAGACATCTGAAGAGAATACAATTGTATTGTGCTTGGAAAGTTCACATCCATGAAGAAATTATTTAAATTGTCACAAAAATCATCTCTTTAAGGAATTGTGTTCCAAATATAAACAATTTATCCAGCTAAAATAAAAGTTACAAAAACAAAAATCAAAGTTCAGTAGAGACTGCAGTGATACATAAACACTCTTACAAATGCTCTTGCCACCTACTGGCTAGGAGAACACTCCGGACTGAAAATAACATGGTGCGTTCTAAAAAGCTTAAGCTTAATGGGATCTGAGAAAAACTGATATTTCAGTCAAACTTCTTCACACAAAAGGAGACAGGAATTACTGTTGAGAAGAAGAGAGAAAAAAGAGAGGAAGTACAGAGAAGAAAGGAAATGAGGAAGAAGAAAGGAAGGATGGAAGGGAGAGAGTGAGGGAGGGAGGGAAGGAGGGAGGGAGAAAGGAAAGAAGGAAGGAAGGAAGGAAGGAGGGAGGAAGGAAGGAAGGAAAAAAGGAAGGAAGGAAGGAAGGAAGGAAGGAAGGAAGGAAGGAAGGTTGATTCTGTACAGATAAGGGACAAAGTGATTAACAAGTCGGTAAAAGATCCTTCCAAAGTTTTGATTTTTGATCTAAAATGAAGCCAAGTGAAGTACATTGCTCATGCCATGTTGTAGGTAGTAACAAAAGCAGAGACTCGATTCCAGAACTTGAGATTTCCTGTCCCTCCTCTTCATACCCAAACAATGACTTCGTTTCACATTGTTTACACTTCTGTTTCTTATTAGACCCCGAAAGAGTTCCTCAAATCTTAGTTATAGCTAAGGCATGTAGCTGAACAAAGAAAGCTTTCTCTAGTCATTTGTCTTTATTACAAATGCATTTGACTTAACACAGACAGACATACAGAGAGATAGACACACACACACAAACACATACACACACACAAATAGGAGAGCTCGCAGAAACCTTCACAGAATAGCAGAGTTGAAAACACAAGAACATTCCATTGACTTCCTGAACATAAGTACTCTATTATAATCTGTCTCTATATAGCCAAAGAGCTGTGTGCCAAGAGCTGTCACATCAACGCTGCCCTGCAGCTGAGCAATGCCTGAACTTCCCTCCTCTTAGAACAGAGCTTCCTCAGCCTGCTAGTCACTCTGCAAATGAAGAAAACATCAAATAATCAGAACATGGACCATACATTGAAGAGATAAAAGTGTTTTGAAAATCTCCCAAGCCTCCTGAACACATCACCCTTTTCTTCCTACTACCCCTTCCTCCTTCCATGTCACCCCTTGTCACTCTTGACCCCCTACTTAACAATGCCCGTGCGTCTTGTTCCTGCTGCCAAAGCACTTACCAGGATTATCAGGCTGCATGAGAGCCATCACAAAGGCGTGGGGAAAGAGCATGGCTGCACTTTTCCTCATGCCCTGAAGCTGGATAGTGTTGCCCTCGAACATGACCCCATGTACATCAGTCTCTGTGCCCAGGCCAAGCAAGTGCCAGGCCACTGTATCGCCCTTGCACATGTCCAGTCTGGGCAGGTTAGAGAAGAGAAACCCATTGATAGCTGGAAAACAAAAACACAGACAAAATAAAGAGATATGATCAGACTACTCAAATCATGGTCAGCAGCATAGCAGCCCTGTATTATGATTTCCCATAGCTTGAAATCCCTCAGTCTAGCTTTTCCCTTGTATAAAGATTATCAATGAAATGAGTATTTTTAGGAATTGGTTATGAGTATGGTTCGAGTTGCGTGTTTCCTTGGGACCCCAAAGTTATAGTCAAAGGCAACCCCATTCCCCTTACCATGCATTCGATTGGAATCTTGGAAGCCCTCAACATCCTCTGAGAGCAGTCGGGTATCCAACATACCAGCTGCTTGATTGGCATCGCTGTACCAACTGTTGTTCTCATCAAACACGGTGAAGAGGAGAAAAAATTCTTTATCCATTCCTTTCTGTGGTCCCATTGGAAAGAAATAGAGGGAGGAATGACAATGGATTCAGCAGCTGAGTACTGCGTAGTTGTAGACCCAAGGCTTCCTGATTCTTTCTCATTTCTTTTTTGCAGATTCAGAGCCAGGCCCATATCTCATGCTCAGAGCTGCAGCTGTTGCTAGGCAGGTTTTCCTCGGGAAGACTTCAAATTGTTGAGGTCAGAGTAAGGGAAAAAGACTAGAGGCAAACCATGTAGGAAAGGAAGCAGGGAAGAAGCACAGGCTGTGGATTAAGGAATCATAGCACAGGATGTGACCAAAGATAGCTTGAAGTCACCTGCGGAGAGGATTGAGGAGACAGTTGCTAGGAAAGCACAGAAGGTCTATGAAGGGAAATTAGAAAACAGTTTTAAAAATTAGAAGTGCATTAACACCGTTTATTATTGTTAAAGCTGATAATTACTGTGTGCATACTAAATGCCAGACACTGCAGTAAGCATTTGATGTGTATTAATTGTATGACTTTTCCAAGAAATCAAAGATAACTTCAGCTGTTAACCCTTTCTTTACAGATGAAGTTAAATTAAAGAGACTTTAAGTAACTAGCCCAACGTTACACAGAAATGATGGGATAGGCCAAAAATGACAAACAAATATTAAAGCAAGTATATGGGTTACAAACAAATTTATGGGTCACTGAGGTAGGAGGGGGGAATAATAATTGGGATATATAAAAAAAGTAAGAATCAAAAGCTAAGAAAGATGTGCGTTTGCATATAAAATAGTAATATACTTAAGAACTGGTGGTCACCACCTATTAATTTTTGATACAATTGCTTGGTTTATCTTTTCTCTATTCTTTTACCTCCAGGATCCAACCCCATTCTTGATACACACCCGGAAACACAATTTTAGTTCTTTTCAGCCAATCTTCCTACCCCAGACCCCCCAGAAATACCTGCTTGCCATCTGCACCCAAGGCGCCAGCCTTGCAAACCAGCAAAGGGCCCACCAGGCCAGAATTTGTATCTCTTATGGGATCTGCAGCAGAGAAGTACATCCAGGTAAGGCAGGCAGGATCCTGAGCAGCTGGCCCAGCATGGGGAGGAACTGTCCACTTGTATGTAACTTTCTCAAAGGGCTTGGCTACCAAGCCAGGATGAGCTGTACCTGCAGGGAAACATGACTAGAGTAAGGACCAACAGCTCCAAAATTATAAACTACAATGACATTTTAAAGGCAACAATGATGGCAGAACCATGCAATAATGGATACTGCAGTGCATGAGTGCAAACTCATGGCCTTTTTCATGCTAGACAAGAGAGTTCTACCACTGAACCACAGCCCGCCTTAAGGCTATATTCTCTTAAAAGGACACACAATATGTTCAAGTAATGCATATTAGTAATCGAAGACATATAAATGGATGCATTTAAATTATTTTGACCTATCAAATTGGCAAATATTTTATAAATTTCAATCAGTATAATGAAAATGGTCCAAATGGTATCTAGCTCTTTCTCTCACCTATAGAGTTTAAATGTAGACATAAATAACCCTTTTTGAAAATAATACTGGCAAAATGCAAAAACTTTAATATCCTTCATGAATAGAAATAAAGATTCGCAGTAATTACTGTAGAAATGTTAACAGAAAGCAATCAAATAAATGCAAATGAAAACAACGAGTTGCATTGATGTTACTTGTTAGACTCTTATTTCGAAAAAAACTAAAAAGATGGTTCTGATGCAGGTGAGGCTGGAAAGAAAGCGACCTCTCAGTACTGTTGATGCAACTACAAGTTAATCAGACTGCAGATCTGTCCAGAGAACAATATGGAAGCAATTGACAAAAGTTTCAACACTCATGTCCTCTGACAAACTAATTTTACATCTTACAAGCAAGGAACTCAGAACCGTGAGGGGTGCACCCACACACTGAGACAGTGGGGATGTTCTATCGGGAACTCACCAAAGCCAGCTGGCCTGGGTCTGAAAAAGCATGGGATAAATCCGGACTTGCTGAACATAGCGGACAATGAGGACTACTGAGAACTCAAGAACAATGGCAATGGGTTTTTGATCCTACTGCACATACTGGCTTTGGGGGAGCCTAGGCAGTTTGGATGCTCACCTTACTAGACCTGGATGGAGGTGGGCAGTCCTTGGACTTCCCACAGGTCAGGGAACCCTGATTGCTCTTCGAGCTGATGAGGGAGGGGGACTTGATCGGGGGAGGGGACGGAAAAGGGAGGCGGTGGCGGGGAGGAGGCAGAAATCCTTCATAAATAAATAAATTAAAAAAAAATACATCCCGAAGGAGTAATCATTAAAATCGTACAAAAGTCCACTGGGATCAGGGCTTGTAGTAAAGGGATAAAATCTGATGTGCTATGAATTTATCTGTTCTTATTCCCTTGTCATTTTCTAATTCCTTAAATTTCAGAAACAGGAAACTTTAAAGAATGGCATAATTGATGTGAAATAAAAGGAGGGTTGAGAAAAGAAAGAGAGGGGTTGTAGAAGAAGTGTCATATGGGTAAGTATGATAAGAACATATTGTATACATGTGATACTAGCCTTATGAAAGTCAGTGTTTATAATAAAAAACAAAAGAGAGTTTAAAAACGACACAATTATGAGCTTAGCATCTAGAGTCAATGTCTATCAAATTTTGCCATCTTTAGTTTGTCTACGTCTACTGAGGAGTATAGCTCAGTGGCAGAACATTTGCTTAGCATGTGTGTAGTCCTAAGTTTTATCCTCAGTGACCATAAGGGGGTAAAAGTCCTATATTTGTGCATATTGTACATCTACATACATACATGCGGGCTTTAAGTTGTTTGTTTTCTTTTGCTGAGTCATTCACAAATAAAATTTAAACCACCATGACCTTATACTTAAAATAGATCAGTAAGAATCCCCTATGAAAGGGCTGGACAGATGACTCAACAGTTAAGATCATATACTGCTCTTGCAGCAAACCTGAGTTTGGTTCCCAGGATACATTCTGCTAGCTCACAACTCACACCAGCTTCAGGGGGAATGAACATCTCCAGCCTCCAAGGGCATCTGAATTTATGTGCATATACACAATCATACATATTCATAATTAAAAATAATAAAAATTGAACTTACTACCAGGGCCCCTCTAGCTACATCATGTACTATGGACCTAAGTGGCTAACACTGCTCTTCCTAAATGCCTCCTCCAATCGCATCACCAATCCTAAGACTGATTGCCAGGTCCAGCTACCTTCCCTCAGCCTGAATGTATCCCTTCCTCTGGTACTCACCAGATCCCAGCTCAATTCCCAGGAAAGATCCTCCAGTTATCAAAACTGACCTGGAGTCCCAAAGCCATGCCAACTCTCTAATTAGAACCTCTACTTGTGCTTTGAGGTCTTTAAACCCAGGACAAATCTACACTGCCAAAGGAAACTTCCTCAAGACTTCTTTTTTTTTATTTTTTTTATTTTTTAAATTTATTTATTTATTAAGGATTTCTGCCTCATCCCCACAACCGCTTCCCATTTCCCTCCCCCTCCCCCGATCAAGTCCCCCTCCCTCATCTGCGCGAAGAGCAATCAGGGTTCCCTGACCTGTGGGAAGCCCAAGGACTGCCCACCTCTATCCAGGTCTCATAAGGTGAGCATTCAAACTGCCTAGGCTCCCACAAAGCCAGTACGTGCAGTAGGATCAAAAACCCACTGCAATTGTTCTTGAATTCTCAGTATTCCTCATTGTCCGCTATGTTCAGCTAGTCCGGATGTATCCCATGCTTTTTCAGACCTAGGCCAGCAAGCACTGATTGAGGATGTAGGCCCAAATACCAGTTAAACAGAGGAAATCAATATTCCAATGCTAATATGACTTAACCTCTAGAACACTGTAAAACCCTCTGCTGAAAAAAGAAAATTATGTTAAACAAAAACAAAAGAAAAAAATAAATTAGCAAAGTAACGCCAGATGTGCAAATCCTAATGCAGAAATAATAACAAGCCACAAAAGAGCAAAATAAAGTGCTATCTCCAAAACACAAATCCCACAGCAATATCCCCTATTGAAAATAAATGGAGACACTTTCGGACAACAAAATCCAAAAGAATGATTGTCACATTGGCAAACAATCCAAAGAAGACAAAGGCAAAGAAGTACTTGAAATAATTAAGTCAATCCAGGACATGAAAATAAAGTTTACATTTGTAAGAAAAGACAAACTTAAAAGATTCTGAAAATGAAAAATTCAAAAAGTTAATTAAAAGTGTAGGTGGAAAGCCTCATGAACAAATTGTATCATTCCACAAACAGAATAAGGGATAGCAGACAAAACAGAGGAATTGGATCATTTAGTAAAGGTCAATGGAAAAAAATTAATATATATAAATGGGACACGAAACAGCTTTGGGACACCATGACCTAGCCTTCAAATATGAGCACAGAAGGAGAAAAATACCACAGTGAAGGCATAGAAAGCATCTTTAGTAAAATCATAGAACAAAACTCCCAACCAAGAGAAAAAAAATGTTCATACAGGCACAAAAGGCCCTAAGAGCAATGGCGAGACACATTATATCTAAAACATTAAAAATAGAGGATAAAGGAAAGTTATGGAAAGATACAAGAGAGGAAAGTCAAGTCACATTCAAAGGTAGGTTAATAAGAACAACAATTAATATTTAAAGAAAAACCTCTAAAGTCAGAAAGGCCTAGAAAGATGACTCCAAGACGTGAGAGGTCACAATTATCAATACAGACGATTATACCCCCAAAAAACTATTAAAATTATAAACCCTGCCTCTAAAAAGAAACCAAAAAAATTAAAGAAACTAAATTTCCATAATAAAAAACAAACTAAATGTAAATTATCCCTTTACACTGCTTGAATATATGTCACTGTGATTGGTTTAATTATATATAAAAAAAGCTGGTTGGCCAATAGCTGGACAGGATAAGATTAGGCAGCAGAACCAGACTAAGAACACTGGGAAGGACAGCAGAGTCAAGACAGCTGACAGCCAGATATAGAGAAGGAACAGGAGGTGCAAGATGAAAGAGCAGCAATGCCACATGGCAGAGCATAAATGTATATAAATGTGCTAATTTAAGTTTTAAGAGCTAGTTAGTAATAAGGTGGAGCTACAGATTAAGCATTTACAATTAATATTAAGTCTCTGCATTTACTTTGGAGCTGGAGGTCCTGACAAAAACTCTGCCTTCAACTACAGGAATTTATGACTAGAAAGCCAGCTCTTCAGAGGATACTTGAAGAATTATTTCAACTTGGAGAGAAGAATAAACACAACCAAGAGGTCACAAGAAACAAATAAGCAATGTCAGGACAAGCAACCAAAAGAGATTTAAGAAAATACTACCAAACTGACAAAATGACAAGAATTAACACACACATTCAATAATTCAATAATAACTGAAGGTTATTGATATTGATTCTAAAAAAAACCTTATTAGAATAGAGGATCCACATTTTTATTGCCTTCATAAAATGCACCTCACCTCGAAAGACAGACACCTCCTTAAGTAAAAGGGGTTAAAAAATCATGTTAAAAAATACATTCCAAGCAAATGAATGAAAAACATGTAGCTTTTTTTTTTTTTTGGATTTTCGAGACAGGGTTTCTCTGTAGCTTTTGGTTCCTGTCCTAGAACTAGCTCTTGTAGACCAGACTGGACTCGAACTCACAGAGATCTGCCTGTCTCTGCCTCCCGAGTGCTGGGATTAAAGTTGTGTGCTACCACCGCCCAGCTAGATGTAACTATTCTTATATCTGAAAAAAAATTAGTCAGAGACTTAAGGAGGATATTTTATGACCCTTAAAAAAACACGCTACCAACAGGTAATTACAATCATGGACATAAACACATCAAACATACTGGTACCTGATTTCATAAAGGAATCACTACCAGAACTAAAACCATGCATTCATCACAGCAGAGTGACAATGGTTGACATCAGCACCAGACTCTTACCAATGCACAGATCATCCAGAAATAAGCTAAACAGAGATAAGTTGGAACTAAATTACATAAAAAAAAAATCAAATGGATCTGACAGAAATCCACAAAAACATTCCACCTAGACATCAAAGAATAAGTGTTCTTCTCAGCAGCCTATGGAATTTTCTCCATAATAGACAGCATACTAGGACTCAA